TCAGCCTTTCTGCTCCTGTGATGCTGCTTGGCCTGCTGTGTTCATCCAGCTCTGCACCTTGTCGTCTCGGTAATCCAATTATACTAACTTTTAAAACAAGCACATCATTTTTTTATAAATTATATTTATTAAAACATGCAACAAAGTTGACAAATAGCAATTTACATCAACAAGGAAGAACATTAGCTACACTATTTTTAAAAATTACCAAACAATAGTTAATTAAATATTCATCTGCTGGGATGAATATGTAATGTTAGCTAAACACAGCTCACATTAAGAAAGGCAAATAGCCAAAGTCCTATAGGGTAACTGAAGTAGTGGGCATCTTACTTTGATACTAAAATTACAAAATACTGAAAGGAATGATGTGCCTTTCAAAGATTTAACCTTATTAATCCAAACTACATCTTTAGAACAAGAAAACCAAATGTCCCTTCCTGACCAGAAGTAACTATTAACCTATTTGTTAACATGAATTTCTCCCATTGTATTTATGTTTTGGATTATTTCAAAGTCTGTTGATGACTTGTTCAGTTTGAATAATTACTGATACAATATAGCCTGAGAAATGGCAGACACATCGATTCTGGATTCCTTGATTTTGCTCTTCCTTAAAATTTTCAGGAGCTACAAAATAATGATAACCATTGGGTTGTCCAAAAAGATCACTAGTTTGTTGCAAACTTGCTTTGTTTTAAGGTAAAAGAAATTCTTCAAACCATATTCGAAATTTTATTATGTAACAGTAACATGATTTAGTAAGCTCTTTGAAGTGATGTGAGGGACAACGTTTCTGCCAAGTCTCTGAAATCAGATTTAAAAGACACAAATGGATCATTCAATGGTTCATAGTCAGTTTCTTATTTTCCAAAAAGGGCAATTAATTCATAATCAGTTTAAGCATGTTTACAGGACTATTGATTCACAATTCATAGGCAATAGTAATTAAGCAAGCTGCCCATAGATCTCTAACTTTTGGCAAAGTTTCCTGTTATGTGCAATAGCCATTTTATTATGAAAACTCTTGAATAAAGCCCAATATTAGTAATTAACAGTGATTGTTTACATATTGAACAACACTGATTTCCTCAAACCTCTTGGAGATTGGGATTAAAAATGCTAGAGGAATTAAACATGATTTTACTGTCCATTGAGTGTTCACCTTCAGCAGGTGAATACAAATCAACAAGAGGAACAATGCATTCCTGACACTCGAGTGAAAATTACTGTAATTAATTGAAGTGTGGCTCACAACTATTCAAACCTGGACCACTTTGTTATGACTGGATTTAAAACAGATCAAAATTGCGAATATGCCATCTGCTACAATAAAAGAGAAAAATAAAATCTTCAACATTCATTCCTTTAATTATAGATCCTTCTCGCCAACAATATATGCCAATCTTCCATCGCCTGCTTTCTTTGAACACAAAACAAAATATGTTCAAACATTGTAGAACTCAGTTTCAGCTTTAATTCCAGCAGTGAGTTATTTGATGTGTAAATAAAATTATTGAAACTTTGGTCAGCACTGTTATTAATACTAACAGCAAAAGAATGAACCATTGAGTCATTCAGCAAGGAAACAGACCCTTTGGCTCAACACATCCATGCCAACTAGGTTTCCTAAACTGAACTAGTCCCATTTGTCTGCATTTAGCCCATATCCCTCTAAACCTTTCCTATTCATCTACCCGTCCAAATGTGTTTTAAATGTTGAAATTGTACTCGCCTCTACCACTTCCTGTAATTGTGAAATGTGAATTTAGTCTTCTACCCGACGTTAGTTTGGAACTTGAATGCTCTGGGAATAAATGTAGTGAGGTGGTACAGTTTCCCAAGCTACTTAGCACAGCACAACAGATAAATTTACTTCATCTTAGTTTTAAGTTTTCATAGGGCTTTCTAAGTGTCACAGTGACAAAAAAAAAACAAACCACCAAGATAAACATGAAATTTAACTTACTTTAGCTCACAGTGCTATGATCAGGCAGACACATTGCTAGACACACTGGTTTTATTGGAAAAATGCACACTACTGTAGTGTTATAGGACTTCAAAATAAGCTATACATGCAAAATGGAATGATGACTTGGCATGCCAACTTGTAGTATCTTCACATTCAGACTTTCCCTTCCACAATCAGGGTTTTGAGATCAGCTAGGGTATTCACACAGAACACATGATGTGAAATAGAACTCTTTTCCAAAATAGTGGCTATTGCTTCACCCACATCCAAGTGATTCACAAAGCCAGGAGCAATTCGGTCTGGTGTTGCAACTCCCATGTTAAGTTTCACCTGTAAAGATTGAACAAGTAAAAAGAGATTAATCCACTGAGATATTACTGGAATGTCCATATTTAGAAAAGTTAAACATCAGAATTTTGTAATCAGCAGGAAAGAAAAAAGGTACTCTCTGGTGACTTCAATGAAACTGCTTGCAGAGATCTAGCAATCTCTGCAGCATGGACATCCTTTTCCTGACATCAGTTTGAATCTGCCACCAAATCAAAGGGACTGTCAGGCAACAGTGACATCATCAGAATAACCAGCAATCACAACAAAGTATTCTCACAGACAGCAAAACTGGAAGTAAAATGCACTAATACTTTTCAGGTTCCATTAAAATTTTACAGAGAGCAAATGAATGATGATTCGAAGATAGACCCGGCATAAAGGTAGAATCTGAAATATCATACCCTTTTGTAAAAAATAAGGTTTTTTTTAATCTTAATGGGGAAATTTGACATTCCACAAATATAGAATTAGTTTTTCGGATGAATTGACGTTGTTCAAAATAATTAAGAATCTAGCCCATCACTAAAAATCCAGTCACAGATCATTCTACATGTAACTTTTGAGGACTTTTAACAGTAACACTCGTAGCAGAAAGGGGAGAAATTTATTTAGTTCAGTGACTGCAGTTTGTGGAATTTGAACAGAGTACTCAATAGAGAACTACAGAAATAATGACAGCAATGTCTGGGATTGAATCTTGATATGTTAGAGGTCCCAGTGAAAGGCCCAGAATGTCTCTTTTTTTAAGAAGGCCCAACACCTCTTATGACAGTGGTGGGCCCACTCTGGGGAAAAGGATTGCACCGTTGAAATCAAGTCCGCCAACAGCTACTGACCAAATGGAGGCTAACAGCTCTTCTGTATTCAGTGTCACTGGGGTTGGTGGCTATTACCAATATTTTTGGACAAGGGAGCCAAAACCCCACTCTATATGATCTGCAAGCAAACACACCATGGAGAGGGACAAGTTTCCACCTATGGATTTCAATGCATATGTATGGACTCTAGAAACTGCTGTCCATTTCAGAGAAGTTGACACTGAACACTGACAGCTTCACTGTCATTACCAGCTCAAAATCCAAACCAGAAAATGTATAGAATGAACTGATTTGTAAGGACTTTTAGAATGTATTTCTTTTAAAGAAGGTCTGGAATCTTAGCATATTTAAATATTCATATGAGAGATGGGAGGAGTTTCTGCAGCTTTAACTCAGCTACAGTCAGATGAATTGCTCTGTGCAGGCCCATTTTTAAAATGATTTTCACTGAAAGAATTGTATGAATACATAACTGCAGATGTAAGACTCTGTACATTGACAGTAAAAAGCTGAACTTCAAAAATCAGAAAAATCAACATCAGAAGTAATTTGAAAAATAATGTAAACTATTTTAACTGAGCTTTCCTGATGCTCAGGGGGAAAAGAGACAGAGTATACAAAACTACTAAATGTAAGAAACATAGATGTCTTTCTCATTCACTATCCAAGAAAATAACTAGGTTGAAGAAAATCTAAAGAAACTCTCTTGAAATTCAGATCTTTATAAGCCTGTACAGAAAGCAGTTGCTATTCAATGTAGCTTTCACTTTTACTTGTTGGAATATACTTTCCTTCAGTTCCCTCACTTGGTGTATGGCATGTTCTTAAAGTTTTTACCTCGTTCAGTTTACATGGAATATCAGGGTACTCCTCTCTGACCACCTGACAGAATGCCAGAGCTCCTGCAGCTCCCAGAGTCAAGAAACCAGTCCCAGGCATTAACAGACGCTCCCCTGCACCACCTACAAAAGGAAGGGAAAACAATTTGTTTATTTCATTTGAAACAATGGCATTTGCACTTGAGTTTTTACTGTTGGTTTATTAGGGCATTTCATCTACAAAACTGGAACCTAGATGTAAATTGTCCATTCATCTAGCTGTCAGATATGTAATCACATTCCACCCATAGCAGAACAGATTAAGTAACAGGTAACATTTGAATCAAGATTTTATGACAACCAAGATATGATGGGTATTCTTTTATTTGCAACACTATAGCAATTCCTCTATCTTAGCTGAGTCTAATCCACTCTCAATGTGGATGCATAGACACAGCCAGCAAAGATCAATGGGCAATGACTAAGATGGAACCTCAACTACAACAGTGCTCTGTTCTGTAGCCCAGTGGCAGAAAATGCAACCATTGCAAAATTCACTTAATTTTGGGAAGGGATCAAACCTAGAGCCTTGCATACAATTGAGTTGACTCCCACAGTACACTGGTGCTTTTATCCTGAACACCGGAAGAGTTGAAAATCTATCACTGAAGGTCATAATGAAATGTTGCAAAGAATCTACAAAATTTCAAAGAATTTCTGTTCCACCCAGTCGGGTTCAGATAACCCTTAAATGTCTCAACAGTAGAACGGAGTAGAAAATAATTTGAAGCTTCCTTAAATACAGTTTGCCTGCGAAAGCTCATGTATCTGGTATGAAGATTTGCTGTCTCCTTCAGAGTTGCTGATGCTGAGTGGAAGAGTCAAAAGCAAAGCAAAGCATTATGAGAGATCTTAAGCTGTAAGCTAAGATTATATCTTTGGAATTAAACATAATGTTAGCAAACCTGCCACATTCAGCCTCAAGCAACAGAATTTGAACAAACCACAAATTATACAAGAAGTAGATTCCATATGCAAATCTTGACAAAATATCTTTGATGTTTTTTTCACCACCAAAGCTTTGACTGAGCCCTTTAATGAATCATATTAATAAATAATTAAAATGTTATCTTTCTTAATTCTATAACTGGAATTTAGATTTTTATAAAAGGGATATGTAAATTGTTGATAGAAGTGCCAGATCTTGGTCATTTGTATCTGAATAATCTTTTCCCCATCAGAAACGTTTTAGACGATTTCCTGAGATGTGCATGACTACCAACCAAGATTGCATCTATGGCTGCAATCCAAAGATATTAATGTCACGGACATCACGCAATGTAGGAAGAGCAAAAAAAGGCTATACATTACATGGACTGGAAATTGGGGGAAAGAGTTGACAAAAGTCAGAAGTCACATGACACCAGGTTATAGTCCAACAGGTTTATTTAAAATCACAAACTTTCGGAGCACTGCTCCTTTGTCAAGTGAAACACTTCACCTGACGAAGGAACAGCGCTCTGAAAGCTTGAGATTTTAAATAAACCTGTTGGACTATAACCTGGTGTCGTGTGACTTCTAACTTTGTCCACCCCAGTCCAACACCGGCACTTCCACAGCAGAGGAAAAGAGTTGGTAACACATAATTAATTACCAAAATAAAGAGAATTAAAAAAACTGCCCATAATGTATGCGTATGAACAGTCAAAGATATCAAAAAATGTCAGATATATATATATGCACACACACCTAAAACATTAGAAATTGTAATTATTTTGGTGGGGGGGGATATAGTAGTCTGTCATCTTTTACACATTTGATATTCTCTTAAAACTGGTATTGCTGTCAGCAAAGCTAACAAATACAATGGATTCCACAATGGCGCGATAACTAATGGTTTCCTATCATCTATATCTCCATTCCAGTCTTCATCATTCCCTCCAACTCCCGAAATAAATTCAAACTGCTCCGACTGATCTAAAACCAAAAGTTGGCCTTTGCTGTATTCACACTGAAAAGGGAGATTTAAGAATCAGTAATAAAATATGGGAATGGCTTTGGAAAAGACAGGAGGTGGTGAGAAATTTGCTTTTAAATATTATAGCAGCAGTACAACAGGTCAGCAAATTAAAAAGAGTTAAATGAGGTCATAAAGAAAAATGTAGAAGTATAGGTGTGGACAGCCAACAGGAAGGTGAAGCTTTTGAATGTTAAAAACTAAGTAATGTTGATCGATCTTTAGGGAAATTTCTTTTGAGCCAAATTTTCGATGGGTAGGTGTCTTCTTATGTGATTCCTTTTATAGATATATACACAAGTTGCCTTATATGCAAGCACATCTCAATCTTGAGCACTGAAAGAAAACTATTTGGCACAAAAGCTTCATGTTATTGTTTTTTTCACCCTGTCCCTATATCCTATTATTCTCGTTTCTAAATGTCTGTGCATTAGTCCTCCTCTTAAAATGCTTCAGTCTTACTTGCTTCAACATTCCATGTGGCAGTATATTCCACAATCTCATTTTCACCGTTGTTTGCATGAAGTGATTTCTCCCAAATTCTCAACCTAATGTATTCATCACCATCTTATATTTAAGCTCCTTTTCCTCACAATTCAGTCATAAGTGCAAACAAGTGGAGGGAAGCAAACTCACCTTTCATTAATATTAAATATTAAAACTTTCAAATAAATATACAAGATTAAAGTCTTCATCAGGTCTTCTCTTATCCAGAATCTCCTGGATTGATCATTCAGCTTCCATCCATCCTTGTTTGTGATGAAATGCTTCATTTCACTTCTAAATTGGATGGTTGTACATCAGAGTTCTGGGATTCCCACAGTGTTCTCATGACCTTCTGCCCTAACTCTGTGGTGGTCGTTGGGGTGAGGGCATGGGGAAGTGTGATGTTTGTGGTGGTGATGGTGGTGGTGTTGCTGTGAGCTGGTGGAATCCCCAAGGTCGTGCTGCAAATTCGCGCACATCTTTTTTCTGGAAGTTCTGTCAGTCTCCCATCAGAGATAAGTTGAAAGATCATGAGAATTCCTGTGAAATTTCAAGAGTCAGGCTTGGGATTGCATACACAAAATGGCCCATCACCACATTAAATGTACAGTGTGCTGGAAATTCATTGTACTCTGGCCTTTTCAACAGTCTTTTGTATTCTTAACATAAGAACATAAGAACTAGGAGCAGGAGTAGGCCGTATGGCCCTTCGAGCCTGCTCCGCCATTCAATAAGATCATGGCTGATCTTTTCGTGGACTCAGATCCACTTACCCGCGTTCTCACCGTAACCCTTAATTCCTTTATTGTTCAAAAAAAAATCTACCTTTTCTTTAAAAACGTTTACTGAAGTAGCGTCAACTACTTCACTGGGCAAGGAATTCCATAGATTAACAACCCTCTGGGTGAAGAAATTCCTTCTCAATTCAGTCCTAAATCTGCTCCCTCTAATCTTGAGGCTATGCCTTGTGCTGTAATGAACAGTAATTAGCTTTCTTATTCAAATGAAACCCAGCGATTCAAGGGTAACTCTATGTAGGGCTGTTGGAAGTGTGGTCAATGTCTCCCTAAATAAAATGAGTAATCAAACACAAAGTCTTGACAGTTATTTTGCAGCAGCAATATGTTCTGATTTCAACAATATATAAATAACCAATTTTTTTTGGTATCAAAACAGTCTTCTTAAAGCTTGAGGGGAGAAAAGATATCAGACTATGCACGAGATTGTTCCCTCTGATTGTCAACACATGTCTACAAAACTCAGCAATTAGTACAATTATGAAAAATGGAAGCTTGGCCAGTCAACTGAATGATCTGCCACATCTGAAAAGTTGTTGACAATATGTTTTGCATTAACTATGAGAAAATATCACCTTGGTTTCTATAAGTTGTTTAAGTTTGAGCTTTCTATAATTTTCTATTGGATATTGCAGTCACCCATATTGCACTAGGAAATATAGTTCCCATTTGAAGGTCAGTGAAGTCGGAGGGTATTTCTTGAAGAGTACATTTAGTGAAACAATGGGTTAGATTTTCCAGCTTGCATGGGGATCCAATAATGAGCCTGCATGGAGTCCCGAGCCCACCCATGTTGGCACTGTGACTCAACCAAACAGGAGGCAATCTCCTAATTACCCACCTCTGCACTCACCATCCACCTGATGCTGCAAGACCAATCAAAGAGCCTTCAACAATGTCAGGCTGGAGTCTCTTTGAAAGAGAGGAGTACAGATTGGCAACAGGCAAAGGCGAGGACATTTCGATGGGGATTGCTTGCAATAACATTGATAAATTCAAAAGGCCCAAAGCTGGTAGCACAATTAGGGTAGAAGGGAAACCATCCAGTGGAGCAGTTACAGGCAGGGTTTGTGGCTTTTGGTCCATATGACTCCACCACTAAGCACACAGCCTTCTGGACTACCAGCTGAGGAGGTAAACTCAAATGATCTGGTGACCTCCCTACATGGCCAGATCTGTTCTAACATTGGTAAAATTCAGCACTACTGCAAAATGGCCCTGAAGTGGCTTCTTAATTCCAGTTCCTAGTCTGGCCCAGTAATGTCTCACAGAAACCAGAATGCTTCATCAATGTGGCTCCTGCCTGTTTCTCGCCAGCCTCTATCTTGAACTTCTTATCTTCACAGGGTTAGAACAGCTCAGTCCAATGGAACTGCTTCCTTACCATTTCCAACTCTTGTATAGTAAGTGCTATAGTTGGGGTGAAAATGATTTCTTGATGCAAAATGTAATTTTCCCTGTTCATTATAGTGCAGAAGAGATTTGTTATGCTTGTTGCACTACAATGATAGAACATTTATACTTAACCTGCAAGAAACACATTTAGAGGCTTTTACAAAAAGAGCAAAGTACAGTAGATGCTAGAATTCTAGAATGCTGGAAATGTTCTGCAGTTCAGGCAGAGTTTGAGGAGAGGGAAAGGGAGAGATACATCAAGTCAATGACTGTTCTGATGGAAGATCCTAGACAGAAAACATTAATGCTGTTTCTCTTTCATAAGCAGCTGGGAGACTTGCTGCGTCTTTCCAAAATGTTCTGCTTTTATTCTAGTTGTTGCTATTAAAGTAAATCATATTGGCACATTAGTGACAATGAGGAGAGCATTTCTGTACAGTTGTCAGATGGTTAACACATAATTTTTGAAATAAATTGGTTGATTGAGGTATATTTTAATTGTTGGTTTTGTTTGTCAAGGAATTGGGAAAATTGGCCATTCTGCTGAAAGCTTCAAACTAACCACTCTGGTTAATTGGTTTACACCCTTTCTGTAGGCATGCTGCTAATACACTGTCATTGGCTGTGAATGAGATAGGAGAAAGTATAGGCACAAAGCCAGGTTTTGATTTTCATCCCTTTACAAAAAGGTGCATATAGTAATTAATAAAATCTAAATTTCGCCCAGACATCTATGTATAAGGTGTGCCTCTCTTGACCCTTTTAAAATATTATATAGAAATCTGTAAAGTAACTCTAAAGGAAACAGGTAGTCCCAAATTGATTTTTAAAAAAATGTATTCTTCCATGGAATGTAGGTTTTGCTGCCAGTTTTATTGCCTAACCCTATTTGTCTTTGAACTGAATAGCCTGCTATGCCACTTCAGAGGGCAGATAAGTGGCAACCATTGTATTATGGATCTGGCGTCACATGTAGGCTTCCCTAATTTCCTTCCCTAATATGAACCAGTTCAGCCTTGACGGCAATTGCTAATAGTTATCTTGGTCACCGTTTCTGAGATTAGCTTCCAATTCCGGTATGTATTCACTGAACTGAAATACCACAGGCTGCTATGATACTTGAGCCCATTTCCCTGCTTTGTAGGCCACTTGGTTAGCGATCCAATGATATTACCATCACATCAGCATCTTCACTCAATCCACTGCACTATCATTCCGTGGTGCTCAGTACTAATGTTAGGTGCCTAAAAGTGTGGACTGTGCCTTTTATAGTTCATCTCCCTCTCACCTTGATGAGCACATTTGGTTTTTTTTTCAAAAAAAAATTAACTATTCATGCAAACACACATTCTAAAGTTCACTGGAACAGTGGAACTGCATTCCTGAGGAAACTACAGAGGAGTTAGTGGTTCTACCATTAAAAAAAAACATTTTGCAACTGGGATGTAAACTTGGAATTTCAGCATGAGCTAAAATCATAAGACGATAAAGTGGGAATTCCAAAGAATTCAAAATAATATCATCAATTCCTTTAAATGTTGCCCTGCAGATAGGAATAATCTACTCACCAGTTATAAATGTGTATGATCCCTTGTGGTCATCTTTAACCAAAGGAAAGAATGCCTTCCAAGATGTGAAAGTACTTATCAGCAATGTCTTCAGAACCTGAGATATAAAGTATGTGCATGTTTAACACTGCCATAACTAAATAGGCCTGAGGTTATTGCACAGTTTTCAATATTCCAATCATTTCCTGTTTTCGTTCACAACATCTGTTCCTTTTGATGGAGGCGGTCATGATATTTGCATTGGAGACAAATGGACATTCCAATCTTTGATGCTCTCACTCAAAACATGCAAAAGGAGGTGTACAAAGGAAAATCCATGAAGCAATGGCCCTATTCGGATCCAAAGATTGATTTCTCTAGCTTTCTCATCCTGAGTGCTGTTACTATACATTAACACATCCTTTGGGATCATTATGCTCTTCCATAAGTTCTAACAGAAAAGGAACTGCTTTGACTGTGTAGAGGTTATTCACAATAAAAAAATTCCATTATTATTGCAAATTATTGAAATGAATCAAAGAGGTAGTAATTTAATTTTCACATCATATGCATACTGAGCAAGAGGACTGAAGGCAGTTAAAATGGATTCAGGGACTGCAATTTTAATTTACAAGTGGCAAATGGACTCTTCTTCTAAACCAAGAAGATAACCTGCAAGAATACATACCATGCTGTAAATAATGTCACCTGACCTGCTTTCTTAACCCAGAATTGAATCAATAAAATGTAATCGCCTAATTTAACACAACCTCTGAGTGGAGATGCAGTGGTGGAATTCTCTCTAGGCAAAGTATGCAGGGAACAGCAGACAAGGCCAGGGGAAACCCTGCAACCTAAGTGTTTTCATCTTTTAAAATCTTTTCGTGGACCAAAAGGAGTGGGACTGCTCCATTGTGCCATATGACAATACCTTGGCTCTCAATTGCACCTAGTTTTCTTCCTGCATCAGGATTCTACTCACAAAGCACTTTCCTTGCACTAGGCACCGTGAACCAGTTGTCCATAGTTGTGGCCATTTGACACTTGGTTTTAAAGGCTGTCCAGCACTTTCCACCAATAAGTTTGATCGGAATTCTTTCTTGCAGTTGTTAGGTAGTAAAAAGGACGTACAACTTTTAAGTGTGAAAGGGTTTATGAATAGAATAAATTGTTCACCATTTAAAAATAACATGTCCAAATAATTTTGATCAATTGCATAATATTTAGATCAAGTAAAACTCAGTTTTGAAACCATAACTGTTTGGGATTGTCAAATTTCAGCTTTGATTCTGCTATTTTTTTTTGATTCACACACAAGATGAGGGTGTCACTGGCTTGGCTGGCCAGCATTTATTACCCATCGCTAATAGTTAAGAGTCAGCCACATTGCTGTCAGTCTGGAGTTACATGCAGGCCAGATCAGGAAAGGACAGCAGTTTCCTTCTGTAAAGGACATTAGTGAACCAGATGGGTTTTACAACAGTCATCATTAGACTCTTAATTCCAGATTTTTACTAAATTCAAATTCTACCATCTGCTGTGGCGTAATTCAAACCCGGGTTGCCTGAATATTCCCTGGATCTCTGGATTAACAGGCCAGTGATATCATTACTAGGCCCCATCACCTCCCCTGCAGCGTATCAACAGCCCTCTATGTGTACTTGCTCTCAGTATTTCATGTAACTTACATTTTCATCAGTATTTAATTGCAAAATGAAAAAGCTTTTGTGGGTCATGACAGATTAATATGAGAAACAGGTTTCATGTAAACATTCCAACCAAAATTAGATTCTTAAATGCAGCCCATAGCTCATACGCCATGTTTCAGGAACTGCCACATAAAACATGTAGGTTCAAATGCTGTTGTCATTGGTGAAGGTGGATGGTGAATTCGCTTGTCATTGATCTCAGTAAAAAGCGACCAAAGATCTAGTGGGCTCAGAGTATTGATTTCCTTTATTCTGGTATAACATTAAGTTTGTCATTTTCTGTGGTATTTTGCAAGTGGAGTACTCAGCCAATCAGTTTGAAGAATTTCCACAGATATTAAAGTAGGAAATAAAAGACATAGATTTTCCTGCACTTTTCAATCATCTTATGGGAAACAAAAATAAAGATTGGGCCAGACTTAACTCTTAGTGCTTTAAAAGATGTAGCATTTGTAAAGTGTTCTTTGAAGGAAATGAGACTCCACTCTTACAAAATTATCTTTTGCAGGACGACAGAGACCGTTCACAAGGAGTAATGATTAATATGCTGTTAAACATTCAGTTAAATCCCATTCAGTAAGGTTTAACATTTTTAGTGGCTTTTACAGTGAAAGACAATGTGTAAAACGTTGAAGTTAACACAGATCCAGTGAACCGATGTGATTTATTTTGTGAAGATGGTAACATTGTACACTATGGAGAAGCAGGAAATCACTGAGAGCAGCTTCTGGATTTCCAATTATTACTGAACTTGTATAGCCATATGTGGCTCTCATTTGTATTCCACATTAACAACAAATAGTTTTGCCATCATACCAAGTACAAAGTTCAGCACAGAACAGGAAAATAGAATATACAGCACATTACAGTTACTCCTTTCAGGAGTCCTGCTACAAGTTGTACCTAATGCACAGGAATAATTGATATTCCAGGTACTAGAGATCTGGCTTAACATCAAAACCATGCGCAGTGAAGCAGCACTGCTGTCTTACATGTCAGAAGAATGCATATTTTGTAAGTGACATCATTTCAACATATGGATTCAAAAGTCTTATTGATAAATAAAGGCACTGCTGTCAACATTACCAGCAGGCTGCAGAATTGTAAGACTCAAAGATGGAAGGTAACATATTTTAATTGGTCTACACAAAACCGTATGAAGTGTAATATCTTTCTCTCTGGGCTTATCATGGTGTTGCTTGGATCTGTTGCTGGACAGGTTTTCAAGGTCAATAAATCACAGACACAAAGTAAAAAAGAGTTCACACTTGTCAGGTGCAATGTACTTCAAAATCTTGGGTTTCAGGTTATAATCCTGACACTTACCCTATTCAGTTCCTCGAGCGTTTGTGTGTGTGGAGGACCACCCTGCCACCAACTGAAACCCAGGGATGACACTATATCTGTCACTTTCCCAACAGCCTGCAGTACTGCATTTTTAGCTGCTTCTGCACCCTCTTCGGAACCTGAAGATAGTTCATTGTAACAAATGTTAGCAAAGCACAGGGAAGCATGCACAAAACTCCTCAACTCTATGTCTTATCAGTAGGCTTTACTGAAATATATAAAACAAGGATATTATGCCTATAGTATCTTTACTCATGCTTCAATTTAAAGCAGACATTTTTATTTACTTATCCTAAAAATTCAAATTGATGAAAGGACAGTATGTGCCAATTTATATTGATGGGAATACGATGTAAAAATAATGGTCAAAAATCACATGACACCAGGTTATAGTCCAACAGGTTTATTTGAAAACACTAGCTTTCAAAGCTCTGCTTCTTCCTAGTGTGGAAGAGGAGGTGTAACGACACAGAACTTATAAGCTGAAAGATAACAACTCTAAAAAATGGTTTGCTGACCACCTCCTGTTGAATCTTTAATCAGTTAGAAAGGAGGCGCAGGTTTCTATTGATTAAAATGCAAATCCCAGAATTTCTCTCAAGTCTTTGCCCTGAGACAATTAAAGGTTTTATTAGTGTATACAAGAGGTGACATTTCAGGTCTGACAATGCACTTTAGGTGTGAGGCCTTGTTTAGAATCTGTGTTTTAACCTGGAGTCAGGCTGGTTTTATTTTTTTGAACAAAATAGAATTATCTGCAAATACACAAACATCTGGGATGAAATTATTCACCCTACAGATTCATTTATGTGTGTGCGCGCACGCATGTGCGTATGACAGAGAGAGACTGAGTGTGTATGTGTGTAACCTGGTGTCATGTGATTTTTGACCTTGTCCACTCCAGTCCAACACCAGCAACTCCACATCATAAAAATTATGGGGCAGCAATTGAAATTAAATACATTGTTTAGAGTTCACAGCACGGAAACAGGCCACTTGGCCCAAGAGATACCAATGTTTATGCTCTACATGAGCCTCTTTTTGCTTGTCTTCCTCTAACTTCATCAACACATCAAATGGGGTTCAACTGAACCGGATTCTTTTTCAGACTTGTATTGAATTATTTGGCCTCTACTTTTAATGCTGACTTTTCTTTTTCTTTCTTTCCTTGTCAAAAGTAGAGTAAGAGTATATCTTTTGGGGTTTTTTTGAGTTACTGTTCAAAGAAGCTACCTTACCAACATCTCCAACCAATGTAGAAAGCCTAGATCGAGTGGCAGCTGGGACAAAGTTTTTCAGTTTTTCCAACCGGGCTGCATCTCTGGATATGACTACCACATGGAAGCCTAGAAGACCCAAAAAAGGAGATTCAACAATAGCAACACAAATGCAGCCCTTAGACGCCAACGCAAAACCTTATCTTTCAGATGGGGGCGGGCAAGTAACCATTCTTCCACCAACTTAAATGGGGAAGGAATTTTGAATGACTGTGGCAAGTTTTCTTCCCAGTCATTGCTGTCAATTCTGCCATACTTCATGGAGAGCTTCAAAGTGTCTTCACAGCATCTCTGTATCTTCCCCAGGAGTGCTGCTCTTTGAGAGTTAAGAAAACAGGTAACAACTAAAAACACATTATACTCCAAGTCCAAATAATTTAACGATGATTTGGTCCAGGAACAGAGAAGATGAGAAAAGGAAGCAAAGCTTGCAATGAGGATCCCTTGACATCATGGAATTTTGTGCCCCTTTTGTCCAAAGATCGTCAGGTCAAGAATCGTCTGTTCAGTTACATGAAGACCCACAGCAGAAACTAATAACCCTGGCTAGATATCATCCTCAAATAACAGGCAGCTTATTTATTTTCATGTGTTTTTTGTTACAAAATACAGTGAAAAGTGTTCTACAGTGTCACCACTTTCTGGCACCATCTTCAAATGCAGAAAAAGAAACCAAAACATAGAACTCAAAAGGCAGAAAAATAAAGAAATTGTGTTCAATATTACAGTATATTACAATATTCTTGTTAAGTGATCAGTCACGGGCCATGGGCCTGGTGACCAGGCACGAATCCCGTTCGCTGCACCACTGCTGGAACAGGAGTTGCCACTCTTCAGCACCATCTCGCCTCCACTCCCGCCAATGAGTCCTTGCTGGGTCTCACCAATGCTTTGGGCTCACCTTGCCAATGCAGCCTCTGCTGATGCCACCAGGTCTCATGCTGGACCCAAACCCGCCTTCGCTGCAGCAGGCATGAGTCTGCGCTAGGACCGCCTCATCAATGCTGAAGCACTGGGCTCACTTCGAATCCATGCTGGACCCACTTGCCAACCTCTACAAGTCTGCACTGGGCCCACCCACCAACCACCATGAGTCCGCGCTGGGCCCACTCGCCAACCACCACTAGTCCGCACTGGGCCCACTCGCCAACCACCACTAGTCCGCACTGGGCCCACTCGCCAACCTCTACAAGTCCGCACTGGGCCCACCCACCAACCACCACGTGTCTGCGCTGGGCTCAATTCGAGCCAACACAGGGCCCACTCGCCAACCACCATGAGTCTGCGCTGGGCCCACTCGCCAACCACCACAAGTCTGCGCTGGGCCCACTTGCCAACCACCACGTATCCGCGCTGGCCTCAATTCAAGCTAACGCTGGGCTCACTCACCACCACCGATGTCGTCACCATGACCAAGCTCTTCAATAAAGAGGTAAGCAGAAAGGACAAAAAAAAGAAGAAACAAAAAGAAAACTGGATGGAGCAGAAAAGCCCCAGGCTCAGGAGCCCTACGAGCACCAGGAAAGAATCTAGCCAAAGTTGTACAGTTGGAAAATGTCTTAAAACATGAAAGAGTTTGGTTCTGTGTCAATATAAATTCCTAACAGATGCCATTTGAGTATCTGACACTAAAACAGCAATCTTATTGAAATAAAGCTCAAGAAGGACTGGTATGAAAAATGTAATCGAGAAATTTCAGCAACGGACTCAAGATTTGAGCTAGAAATTGTTGGGCCACAGTAAAAGGTATTTAACTTGTCAGCCTTTTGTAAACAGCATATCTGGTCTTAGGATGTTTGTTAATGCAAAATATCCTTTTCTCCTTGTTTTTGACTGTTTTACTTTCAGTAGGATTGAAACTCACGTGAAAGACTTCAAAAAAAAAGGCAAAATGTGATGAATTTACATAATTAAGCTTTATAAAGCATTGTCTGGAGGTTTTTGGACAACATGCATTCCAAACCCAATTAGCTGATCATTTGCTCATTTAGTATTTTGTGATGGTCATATATAAATTGGTTGCTGCCATGTACCTACTTTATAAAATGTGAATGTATTTTGAAAACATTTTGTACGAAACACTTTGGGATATGCTGAGTATATGAAAGGTGTTGTGTAAATATCTTTCTTTTTGGCACCAAAAGGCACTAAATACACATTGCTAGTAAATATTTTAAATTAATGAAGAAAATACTCCAGTGTTATAGCATGATTGTAAACAAATGTGTGAGCACTGCACATGAGCAAGCAAATTCATCTGTGCAATTATTAATAAATGAATTAATGTATTCATATGAAATTACTGTTTTAACAATTGTATTTCAGCCTTTTATTTTACCAAATAAATAAATTGTATATGAACATACTTAACTGCTTACCATTGTCATAGAATATGGTTTGATTCACATACAAAACATAGCTATTGCTAAAAACCCATAACTAAATCTTGTTGAACAAAGTGTGGTCAGCTGGGTTATCCTATTACAGAACCCATTGAGTTACCTTTCCAGTGAATTATATGGATTCCACAAAGGGATCAGTGATCTGCTAGATGAGATTAAAGCCCATAAAGTGAAAGTGAATACTTACTCACAAGGTAAAATCATGGTCAAGTTTTTCTAAGTCTCACAGGTACATTTTTTTTTATTATGTCGTGCAGTTAGCCACAACATATAAAAAAAATTCTAATCTATTTTTAGGAGACATGAACATGCTTTCATACAGAACCTTATTACATCTTCAAAGGTGTTCAAAGTGTTTCACAACACAATGTCCACATTGTTGTTATGAAGACAAAAAAAAATCAGAAAATCCCAGAAGCAGCAAATGATAACAGAACCCAATAAAATAGAATGGGTGCCAATCCTAACAAACAATTGGTAGACCATCACTAGAAAACATTAAAGACAGTGTTCAGATTTTAGGAAAAATATATTTTGCTGAATGAAAGAACAAACTAAACACTGGTGGACCTATATATTTCGTAAAAAAAAATAAATTAAATATACATTCAATACACAGGCAGCAGAGGAGAGCACTGTGAGGCTGAATACCAAGCGAATACCAAGAAGGCAAAAGAACAATTAGAAAAGCAGGGATGAAAAAGGGAGCATTAAGGGCTTTTAAAACCAATTTTGTGGAATGTGGGTGTCACTGGCAAAGGCAATTTATTGTCCATCCCTAATTGTCCTTGAACTGAATGGCTTGCTGGGTCATTTCAGAGGACAGTTAATAGTCTTGTGGTCTTATGGTGTTAACCACATAGCGATGGATTTGGAGTCACTTGTAAACCAGACTGGGGATGGATGGCAGATGCCCTCCCCTAAAAGGGCTTTAATGAACCAATTTGTTTTTAGCAATCATTTACAATAGTTTCATGGCCACCATTACTACAATTAGCTTTCTTTAAATCCTTGATTTATTAATGGAATTTAAATTCCACAAGCAGTGATTGAGGGATTTGAACATGTGACCACAGTATTAAATCTGGCCCTTGGCATTACTAGCTTATTGACATTCTGATTAAACCACCGTCATACCAAGACTGAGGAATAGGATAGACAAGATAATGCCAGAGGTAAACATAGAAAGATGACAGACATGTTAAATCATCATTTCATTCAGTGGTCAGTATCGAGGTACGATAGGTAGAATGACACCAAATGAGGAGAGGAGTATAAAACAAGCATGGTTGCATAGAATAAACAAACTCAGAATATAAAGCCTCTGATCTGAAGGGATAGCACCTACAAGTTTCAAAAGAATCTTGGGACAGAGTATCAGAGACATTGCTGCACAAAATTAATAACTCTTTAGTAAGTTGTAGCGTTAGTAGATTTATGGATAGTTAACAAAATTCCTATCTTTAAGACATTAGAACTTGGCCAAGGAATTATATGCCATCAACTTAATATCAGTGGTAGAAAAATAATGGAACCATGCAAAGTACAGAATAGAAGATGTTGCAAGAAAATAAAGTAATGATGAATAATCAGCATGGATTTGAGAAGGGAAAATCTTGTCAATCAAACTTCTTTAATTTTCTCAAAGAGGTAATAGCTAGAATAGATTATGGTAATGCAGTAAATGTATTTTATCTGGATTTCCAAAAAGCCTTCCCCATAACAGTCTAATGAATGAGGTTAGAAAATATGGAGTCAAGTATTACAAAGAGATGTTAGCTAAAATATTATTAATTTATTATTTATACTGGATATATGGTGAAATTTTTTGACAGAAATGTTTATGAAACAAAAAGACACTAAAATATTGCATTTGTGAAGAATATAAATTGCTTTTTAGAAACCGCAGAGTCCTCGAAGCGTTTTGAGAGACCCATTACCCATTTCTCAGGCGTGTTCTAGATTTTTAATTAACAGTCTAAGAGAAGGACTAGCACAGGTCAGAAGGAAGACAGCTTTATCCTGTCTTTTTGAAACTTCTCTCCATTGCTGTAACCTGAGACTTTTTAAAAGGAAGAATTCTGAATCAAATCTACTTTCTCCAAGAGAACAAGAGAATTACCGCAACCACAACTGCAGAATGACTACTCCAGAAACAAACTCCAGTACCAGCAGTTACTGTAGGAAAAACATCCCTTCAGCCGAAAACAGGCCTTTAAACAAACCATGAATAATTTGCTTTTTTGACTTTTCTTGGTATTTGGCCAAGTTCCAGATCTAATACTTTGCAGAGTTTTGTTTTTACTTGTTAAGGGGCATTATATGTTTTGTTTTTGCAATAATGGGTAGTTTGATGTAATTATACATTTTAAACATTGTGTTAATATTTTTTACATGTTGAATGAGTTTTGGAAATTAAACTAACTCTTTACTGTCAACCTAAGGAATCCGACTTGCTCATTTACAGTCAGTCATACAGCATAGAAACAGACTGTTTGGTCCAACTCATCCATGCTGACCGGGTTTCCTAAACCAAACTAGTCCCATTTGCCTGCATTTGGTCCATATCCCTCTAAACTTTTCCAATCCATGTACCTGTTCAAATGTCTTTTTAAATGTGGTTATTGTACCTGCCTCCACCACCTCCTCTGGCAGCTCATTCCATAC